CCCTAATTAAATTGAAGAAAAAGAGGGGAAAAATGAAGTGGAATGCATAAAAAGACACTGAAACGCATAAAGAACGTGCATGTGGAAACGCATCCGGAATGCGTTTCTATAGTGTGAACCGGCCCTTAGGGCTAGTTCACACTAGATGCAGTCCAGTGCGTTTTTGTTTTGTTTTTTTCTGCATCAAAAATGCAAGCACAGAGTTTTCCATGTATTCCAATGGTCCTAGTTCACACCAGTGCAGTCCGTTCCGGTCAGTTTTGGTGCAGAAAAAAAAGTAGAACATATGCTGCTTTTTTTTTTTGTTGCACAGAACCATACTGGAACATGGCAAACTGCATCAAAACTGCATCGGAACTGCGAGCAAAAATGTATATGGAGTGCGTTTTTTGTAGTGTAAACTGGCTCTTAGGGCTAGTTCACACTAGATGCAGTCCAGTGCGTTTTTTTTTTTTTTTCTACATCAAAAATGCATGCACAGAGTTTTCCATGTATTCCAATGGCCCTAGTTCACACCAGTGCAGTCAGTTCCGGTCAGTTCTGGTGCAGAGAAAAAAGTAGAACGTATGCTGCTTTTTTTTTCAGCACAGAACCATACTGGAACATGGCAAACTGCATCAAAAATGCACCGAAACTGCATGTGGTGTGAAATGCGAGCACAAACGTATCTGGAATGCATCCGGAGTGCGTTTTTTTTGTAGTGTAAACTGGCCCTTAGGGCTTGTTCACACTAGATGCAGTTCTGTGCACTTTTTTTCTACATCAAAAATGCATGCACAGTGTTTTCCATGTATTCCAATGGCCCTAGTTCACACCAGTGTAGTCAGTTTCTGGTGCAAATAAAAGTAGAACATGCTGCATTTTTTCTTCACAGATTGGTCATGTGATCAGCTCCCCTGTCAGCTAGTACCGGCTTCAGGAGAGAAGAGGGAGTGGCGACAACAGATGGCCCATAGTAAGCCTATGGGTGACGTCACTGCTCCGGCCTTCCTGCTACTGTCATTGTGCCCTCAGTTCTACCATGTAGCCAGCCTCTGACTGACAGAGGAGACTACTTGACTGGAGCAGCCTGAGAATATTTATTTATTTCAGGTACTTATATATCGCCGTCAATTTACGCAGCACTTTACATATATATTGTACATTCACATCAGTCCCTAACCCTCAAGGGGCGTACAATCTAAGGTCCCTAACTCACATTCATACATACACATACTAGGGACAATTTAGACGGGATATAATTAACCTACCAGCATGTCTTTGGAGTGTGGCAGTAAACCGGAGTACCTGGAGGAAACCCACGCAGGCACAGGGAGAACATGTAAACTCCAGGCATTCCCCTCTGACCTCAACAAGGCATTTTCATCCACACAGCGGCCGCTCACTGAATATTTTCTCTTTTTCAGACCATTCTCTGTATACCCTAGAGATGGTTGTGCATGAAAAATCCCAGTAGATCATTTTTGAAATGCTCAAGACCAGCCATCTGGCACCAACAACCATGGCACATTTAAAGTCATTTAAATCCCCTTTCTTCCCCATTTTGAACTTCAGCAAGTCATCTTCACCAAATCTACAGGCCTAAATGCATTAAGTAGCTGCCATGTGATTGGCTGATTAGCAATTTTACCTAATGTTAGCAAGCAATTGAACAGGTGTACATAGAAGTGGCTGGTGAGTGCATACTAACTACCCTGTATGGGAAGGATGCATATAATTACACATTGGGCAGCACAGTGGCTAAATGGTTAGCACTTCTGCCTGGCAGTACTAGGGTCTTCGGTTCGAATCCCAACCACGGCACCACCTGCCTGGAGTTTGCGTGTTCTCCCTGTGCCTGCATGGGTTTCCTCCAGGTACTCCGGTTTCCTCCTACACTCCAAAGACATGCTGGTAGGTTAATTGGCTCCTGTCTAAATTGTCCCTAGTATGTGTATGTATGAATGTGAGTTAGGGACCTTAGATTGTACACCCCTTGGGGGTTAGGGACTGATGTGAATGTACAATATATATATGTAAAGTGCTGCGTAAACTGACAGTGCTATATAAGTACCTGAAATAAATAAAAATAATAAAATCCATACCTGGAGCTCCACTTTAATATGATGATCTCTGACTTCCTCCAGTAGACTGCTAACACTACACAAAGGGGTACTCATGATTCTAGTCGCCATACTTCTCTACATCCATATGTACCAGATATGTGAATTTGTATCAGATCGATGTTTTATCTGCCTTCTCTTTTCAATAAAGAAACTCTGATTTAAAAACAAATCCCAGTGATTTGCAGGGTTGTTGGCATTCGCTTTGGCAGTAAAGTTGTGCGTTTACTAACACTGGCTATACATCAGGCCTAATAAAGAGGTAATTGCCTAGGAAAGAGGATCGGAGGAGGGGGGAAATGGGGGCTTTGGATCCAATAGAGGAAAATTTGGAAGCTCTTCTGCTCTCCGGATCTCCAAATGTGCCGCACTGTAATTGCACAAGAGACGTCCTTTATATTGCTGGAACTCTCAGTGGCACATCGGTTTAATAATTCATATTTTCATTAGAATTGTGGGGAAACTTCATTTACATAATTAGCACGAGCTGGGATGTTGTTGGCTTGATTTTAATGTGGTGTTACATTTTAATGAATTCCAGAGGTGCCGGGTGCTCTCTGCACTCACATCCTCCCCAACACCCTACTTTGTGAAAGATGAATTTATGCTCAGAGCCCCCCCCCCCCCCCCCCACACACACACATAGACACCGCTCCGGCTTACAAATTATTTTAAGGATTGATATTGTTCCTACGTGTACTCAACGACGACGTAGCCACTTCTGGATTAAATCAATCGACTACTTTGATCTCTCATGATTGGAGGAAAACCTGCGCCCCTCCCTCTCCCAAGCCTATACCTAGTCTAGTCCTTTACGATGTTTGCACGATTTTGGCAGGAACACGAGCATGGTGGTGGGGGAACAGTGGGGGGGGGGGTTGGAGAATGACTAGTTACCTGGGTATAAAGCTAGGAGTTCCCATTAGCAAAGTTTTTTTTTTTAAATCTTAACTCTAGATATCAAAAACACAAATGGATGCAGCACAGAAGGGCTCAGGGAATGGGAGGGAGAAGCAGCACAAGAAGCCAACCAGTTTTGCTGCAGTGAAGAACATGCTGACAGGAGGAGAGAGCAGAGAGATGATCTCATCAATGTGCTGCTTCATCCAATGTTCAGTCACATGCCGGGAAAGGGACGGGACCTGTAAATGTTTCTTAACTGTAGCACAGAAAATCAGGTCTGCTGCCCCCAGGAAGGGTTTGTTCTGTGTGGCAGAGCTGTATAAATCTCAGAAATGGATGCACATAATTAATTCTTTGGACTGGTAAAACATCTGTGTATTCAGCTCTTTCTTGGCATGTGGTGATTGACTGGTGGGGGTGGGTACAGGTGGTTGAGGAGGGTTTAGGGTGTGTAACCTTTTAATTTTTTTTTAAAAGGTGAACTTACATTTTAGGGGAAATGATAATTAGAGCATGTTCACTTTCACAGTGAATTTTCACTTATTTTGAATGCTGTGATTGGACACAGCTGATCACATGACCGAGCCGACATCTTCAGCTCTTTCCGTTGATCGGTGATCCACTGGGGTTTATTTACTAAAGCTGGAGAGTCCAAAATCAGACTCCCTCTGCATAGAAACCAATCAGCTTCCAGGTTTCATTGCCAAAGCTTCATTGAACAAGCTGAGGTTAGAAGCTGATTGGTTTCTATGCAAAAGGGAGTCTGATTTTGGACTCTCCAGCTTTAGTAAATAAACCCCACTGTGTCTGAGGGACACAGCGCACCACTGATTGCCGCGCATGCGCGGTTAGCATGTGAGGACGTCATGTGACATCCTCGCAGAACGAGAGAGAAACGAATTGCGCCCGTCATTACCTTATATGACGGGCGGGGGGTGGTAAAGCCAGAAGGTTGGAATGTTAAAATAAAAATAGTTTTGAGGCATGTGTGTGATTTTTTTTATTTTTTATTTTTTTGTTTTTTTTTGTTTCTACACAATTAAACAATTGAACATTTTCCAAGAGTGGTGATTCACACACACACTGCCTCCTGACAGCTCATGTAGTAATTTATTCTCTGTGTAAATCAGGGTATGTTATTCTTTAGTACAAGAACCACTGCAACCTCCACCCCCCTCTCTTTCCTAAACTAAACCATACTGTATATAGACAATCATTCACTGCATCTCCCTCACTATTTGTTTCTGTAATTGAAATGCAAAAGCTTTCCATTAAAATGTATTCAATGGAAAAAAAAAAAAAAAAAAAAGCTTGGTTTCTACTCCGTTGAAAATACTGAATTGCACCAGGTTCAGCGTGTGGAGAAGTTTCCGACAGCGATTACGTCAGTGTGAAATGAATGAATGAGTTTCACAATGAAAAGCATGTGATAAAGAACAGCAGCAGAGCACAGGCCATGAAGAAGGGAGGAGAAAATGATTTCACCCCTTAATAAATAGGTCCCATTACGGAGCCTGCTCTGTGTTTTCAGGCTGGTGCAGGATTGGAGTGATGATCCATTAAGTACTTATTTTCTGCCCAGAAATAGCATTCGGAGCTGTGTGCAGATATTATGGAGTGCTAATTGTTGGAGGTAAAGTGTGATGCGCCTTGTGTTTAGACTCCCTTGTGTACCGCCAAAGCCTCATTTAATTATGCCCTGCTAGCTAATGACCTACTAGCAAATTCATGATTCCTCATCTCCGTAAAATAACTCGGTAATGATATTCTAAGTGGAAGGAAGGCCGTACGATTTAATAATGAGCTTTTCTTACAGTCCGCTGCAGCCTTGCTCTCCTACATCCTGCGGCATTTGAATACATTTACCGCAGGTTCCATCAGACGCCCATTAGTTACAAACAGTTGTGTAAGGGTTAATTAGCATCCATGCTGGAGGTGTTTATTGTTGCAAGCAGAAATTTTCTAACATGTATATAGTTTTCTAGATAGTCGTAGACACAGGCAGGGGTGGACTGATCATTTGGAAACTCGGGCAATGCCCGAGGGCCCGGGGTCAGTAGGGGGCCCCATGAGATACCCCTGGTACCTTTTTCATAGGCTTTTTTTTTTAGTTTGGGCAAGGACACAGGGGCCCCATGATCCCCTATTGCCCGGGGGCCCCATGAGTTGTCAGTCCGCCCCTGGACGCAGGTCCATATAAATAATGGGGAACCGTAGTCTTTAGTTATATTTTTTTTAAACCTCTTTGCTGAATACATAATGCATACACAGCGACCTGAGGTGGTGTGCTGAGTGTGTGCTCCCGATCATGTGACTGCTGTGAGAGAGACAGTGATCACATGATAGAGAAGCCACACCTCCTCCTCAGTTTTAAAACCCTCTTAGCCTCTTGCCTACCGGGCACTTATACCCCCTTCGTGCCCAGGCCAATTTCAGCTTTCATCTGTGTCGCACTTTGAATGACAATTGCGCAGTCATGCAACACTGCACCCATATGAAATTTGTATCATTTTTTTTCACACAAAGAGCTTTCTTTTGGTGGTATGTGCTCGCCGTTGAGTGTTTTATTTTTTTGCTTTATAAACAAAAAAAATGAGCAAAAATTTTGAAAAAAAAAAAGTTTTTGTTTCTATTATAAAATTTTGCAAACAGGTAATATTTCTCCACTGATGTGCGTTGATGAGGCTGCACTGATAGGCAGCACTGATGAGGCGGAACGGATATGCAACAATGATGGGCACGGACTGGCAGCACTGATGGCGGCACTGCTGGGCACTTGTGGGCGACACTGCTTATCAGGGCACTGATCATCGGTGCCGATCCGTCCTCTGACAATTGCTGATTATCGGCAGTACTTTCCGCACACTGTAACAGTGTGAGGAAAGTGCAGCCAGTAACCGGCAACTGCATTTACTGGTGATTTGTTGTGTCATTGCACACAGCTGATCACGTGGTAAAAGGCTGCTGTGATTGGCCTTTTACCACATCACATGATCAGCTGTATCCGTAGGACACAGCGATCACGGAGATCGCCGGGGGCGAGCGGGAGGGTGCGTTCTGGTAGGACCTCATTGCTCAAGGAACCCCTGGCAACATCTGGAGGATCCCTGGTTGAGCAATTCACCTAAATTCACAATTATTTTCCCTGCCTTCTCCCTCCCTCATTCACAGTATTCTGTGAATGGGAAAACTACAAGTTCCGATAGCCTTTGCGGCTGTCGGCTTGTTGTTTTCAATGAATTACCTCGGTGCTCTACAGCCCTGTGGTAGTGTATTGAATCTTCCTATCAGTATATATCTCCTTGTCCATACGGGATGTTCAAGCAAGCAGATATACTGACAGGTCAGGGGGAGACCTGCATGGCACCAATGAACTGCTGATCACTGGTGAAATGCTTTAGTAGCTCCACAAACAAATTATAAATGCAGATTTTTCTTTTTACCTACAAAAAAATGTGCATTTATTTTTTGTGAAAAGGTGAATTTGCCTACCGCCCTAAAGTAGAAGTACTGCTACAGGGCGTCAGGGCTGCACAAAATCACTTGTATATATACATGATTTGCATTTCTGGGTAGGTGGTGTGCGCTGCCATTGGCGTCTAGGGATGTCAACCACTGTGTACCGGCAGAAGATTCCCTGCCGGCACCCAGCGATCACCCTGTAAAGCTGACAGGGAATAGACCTGTGTGTAAACAACACAGGTGTCTCTCTCCTGCCAGCAAGGACATGCTGCTTTGTATTTCTATGCACAGCAGGGAGATACAAAGCAGCATGTCTCTGTAGTAAAATACACACAGCACACAGTTAAGCCTTTGATCGCCCAAACGTTAACCGCTTCCTGCCCAGTGTCATTAGTGCAGTGTCAGTGCTTTTTGTTAGTACTGATCATTGTATTGGTGTCACTGGGGATGTCAGTGGCAGTTAGTTCCCCTCCAGTGTCAGAATGCCCACCGCAATCCCGCTATAAGTCTCTGATTGCCGCCATTACTAGTATAAAAAAAAATAAAAATTCCAGTATATATACTGCCATTTGTAGACACTATACTTTTCATATAAACCAATTAATTTACATGTATTTGGATTTTTTTTTTAGCAAAAACATGTAGCAGAATACATTTTGGCATAAATTTGACGAAATTTGGTTTTCTAATTTATTTTTTATTGGATTTATAGCAAAAAGTTAAATTTTTTTTTTTTTTTTTTTTACACAATTGTCTTTTTGTTTAGAAAGTAAAAAATAACAAAATACAGAGGTGATCAAATACCACTAAAAGAAAGCTCTATTTGTGGGAAAAAAAAAGGGTATAAATTCAATTTGGGTGCAGCATTGCATGACCGTACAATTGTCAGTTAACCTCTTCGCGCCGGCCGCATGCAAATTTGCTGCCTCCCGGCATCTGGGCCTTGATGCCGCGCGGCTGCATATTTGCACGTAATTAAGAAAAACATATGTGCTGAGAGCGCGCGCCCTGCGTGCTCCCAGCACACATCTCCGGTACTCACGGAAAGGTCCCGATCTCCTTTTTCAATTGGGACCTTTCCCGATCATGTGACTGATGTGACAGCGAATCACGGCGGTCACATGACCCTAAAACCCCGCCCCGCCGCCCGGCTTCTGAAACCCTTAAAGGGCCGGGACGCGCCTGCGCCAAGGGGTTAAAGTAACACAGCGCCGTATCACAAAAAAGTGGCCTGCTCAGGAAGGGGGGTAAATCCTCAGGAGGGCAAGTGGTTAAGGTATACATGTGGAAGTAATCAGTCAAGTAGATGTAATTTCATCAATGTTTGATTAAGTTTTAAAAGCCTTGTTCCTATGTATGGTAATTAAGTGTCTACACAGGGCAGCCATGTTTGTTCTCTATGCAGGTTTTGCTTCCAGTTTTGCCCCATTGCTTTGCTTCATGGCTCTCCTGTTTGTAGGCACAAGCCTATAGTTAGTATCACTGAAAACTGTGCACTGTATATACTGTAAGTGGGATTTTGTTTCATCAGCATCTGATTAGGGAGACTAAAGCTGGCCATACAGAACAGAATCAGGCAAGAGAAATGAATCTATTCCTCCATACTAAACAGCATGGATAGAGGGATTCTCGCTGCCGGCTATTGTATTCAGCAGTAGCAGCTGCTCCCTACCCGGGCTGTGCCTGCATCTGATTGGATGCAGCCACTGTTCTGGCAAATATTGTCCAGCTGGCTCCTTCAGTTGACACTTATCAAGCAGGGGAATGCTGGCAGGGCCACCCACAGCTCAAATACGAAAAGTGTATGCAGCTCAAGTACCAACCGCATCTAGACCCTGACTGGACAATCTATACATCTGTGTTAGTATGTTTGGATAGAGTTGGGAAGGGTTAGAAGCTCTGTCAGATGTTTTTTTTTTTTTCTGTCTGTGTCTGCAGTGGGGGTGACACCCCTTATTCATTTCCTGTCCCGGTGACTTCACTGTAATATGTATTCCACACACTATACATACATACATACATACATACACCTATCAGCCATACCTGACCACTGACAGATTAAGTGAATAACACTGAATATTTCGCTACAATGGCATTTGAAAGTTGGTAGGCAGCCAGTAAACATGTTGCCCCTGAAGTTGAGGTGTTAAAAGCAGAAAAAATGCTCATCGCAGTTTGCTGGGTATGGGGCTGCATAGCCTCAGAATGATCAGGTTGCCCATGCAGACCTGTGTCCACAGCCAAAAGCTCCTACATTGGGCATGTGAGCATCAGAACTGGACCATGGGAGATATCTCCAGTTAGAACATTTTTGGTTAGCTCGCTCCCTAAGTCCTTAAGACCAATGACGGATTTAAATTTACTAGAGCAACTTTTTAATACAAATAAAACATGGAAACAAGGTACTTCCTGGATTTATAAAATTCTTACCAAAATGATGGGGGTTGCCCCGCCTTTGTACATGGAGAAATGGGAAAAGGAATTAGGAATAACATTCAACGAGCAACAGAAAAAGAAAATATTTAGATTAGTACACAGAGCGGTAGATATGACGGTGGTGGAAATGAATTACAAGTGGTTGGCTAGGTGGTACATCACACCAAGTGTGGCACATAAACAACAAATAGATAAATCACCTTTATGTTGCAGAGGATGTGGGACAAAAGGCAAAATAGCACATATATGGTGGGAGTGCCCTAAAATTCAGGAGTATTGGGAAGAAATAATTTATTTAATTCAGGAGATAATGAGGTTTGAGGTCCCGTCAGGCATATGCTTATTCCATAAAACTGAGACTTCAGTAGAAAAATATAAAACTCGTTGGTATTTCATCTGATAAATGTGGCAAAGCGGTTGATACATACATTTTGGCAAGAGCAGGAAATACCAAAAAGAAAAGACTGGATAAGTAGGGTTGGCTATATACAGTTGTGTTCAAAATAATAGCAGTGTGTTGAAAAAAGTGAATAAAGCTCAAAATCCTTCTAATAGCTTTTATTTCCATCCACACAAATGCATTGGGAACACGACACATTCTATTCCAAATCAAAACGTGAAGAAAAATAGATCAAATTTGTGTTGTTCCTCTAAAAAAAATTGAAGAAAAGTGAATATTAGACGGTTCAAAAAAATAGCAGTGTTTGTATTCTTCTTTACAAACTCAAACATTCACTATATAAACTGAAAAATGTTTGAAGATTTTGCTTTCCTTTGAATGACTTAATGAATATTTGGTTGTATTCGCACTGTTTCTGAGAACTGCTGTACATCTGTGTTGTATGGAGTCACCCAACTTCTGGCCCCTGTGATCAGGTATTCCAGCCCAGGATGATTGGACTACATTCCACAGTTCTTCTCTATTTCTTGGTTTTGCCTCAGAAACTGCATTTTTGATGTCACCCCACAAGTTTTCTATTGGATGAAGATCCGGGGATTGGGCTGGCCACTCCATAACGTACATCTTGTTGGTCTGGAACCAAGATGTTGCACGTTTACTGGTGTGTTTGGGGTCGTTGTCTTGTTGGAACACCCATTTCAAGGGCATTTCCTCTTCAGCATAAGGCAGCAGCATACCTCTTCAAGTATTCTGATGTATTCAAACTGATCCATGATCCCTGGTATGTGATAAATAGGCCCAACACCGTAGTATGAGAAACATCCCCATATCATGATGCTTGCACCACCATGCTTCACTGTCTTCAC